TGGCGTCTGGGCAGCGGCCTGCGCGGCGTGGGTGGAAGTCACGGGTTTCCCCGTGCTCTTTTCGATATGTGTCTGTTTCGTTGGGCCTTCTGGGCCTTAGGAGCCTAGAATCCCTCCACACCTGTGAAAATAGTGTTTTTACACATATATACACACACACACTTTGGCTGAGGAAGCTATTGAAATAGCTAAGCTGACTGCTAAAAGAAATTGAAATTACTTTTTTGGGGGGGGCAGAGAGGGTAGGTCTGCATATGTGTTTTCTGAACAGACAAATGGTGCTTCTCCTATGTAATGTACATGAAATGTTGGCTGTAAGCAGGAAGGAGATCCCAGAAGAGAGCTTGCTGCTGGATCCCAGCTCAGCCAGGGTGCTGAATTGCTGGTGCAGAAGTTGCCCATAAGTTGCTCGCAAAGTGGGAGTGTTTTTCAATTCATTGTTTTCTGATTATTTGAGTCTTGGTATTAATCCCAGCTCATCTTAACATTTTGTGGCTTCCGAGTCTGTATTTTTTTGCACTGTCAACAGAGACCACTTTTGTTGTGTTTTTACCTTCATTCCTCTGCTGCCACTGTGAAAAAGAAACTATTTAGTTGAACGAAGCTAAAAATATCAGCAAAAATAATAAATGTCTTCAGAAACTGGAAGAACTAATAGTCACTGCCATCATCTTAAACGTAAAGCTGAAGGAACCACTCATTATGCTCAAAATGCTACCATATACTTCCAAACCAAGCAAAATAAAGTTAGTTTGAATCTTACCTGTACTACTAAAGCCAAGCATCCCTAGCTGAGATACTCAGCAAATTCCCTGAGCAGAGCAAGTCTTATCAAGTAATGACAACAATCAGATTTTATTAATAGGTCTTCCAAGGATCCACAGCTACTGGAGAGGCCTGATTGGAACTTCCAGTGACATAACAGTGTTGAGAGATTGCAAAGGGTTTTCAGGACACCTTTAATGGTTTTCTCCCCGTCTTAGGAAAGAATCATAATATTTGATCAAACCCTGGTTACATATTTGTGCTTTCACATCAAAACACAATCCTTTTGTGCAGAAAAAAAAATAAGAGTTTGCATTCTATTATGCAGTTAGTCATATCCAAAGGAAATTAGATAATGCAGACTTATGCTAAGGATAAAAACACTGGGTTTGGGGCAGCATTCCTACTTAAGCTTGATTTGATAAACTGTTTCAAGAAAGGTTATAAGGATTTAAAGCAGATGTGTACTGTTTTTATGGCGTATTTTATTTGCAGTACAGCCTGACAGATTCAAGTATATGTGAATTGGTCACTTAAGAACTTCTTATATAGTCCTTTTTAGGTGTGTAAAAAGATTGAATTTCATTTTTTTTTAATCTGCTTTAGGAAGAATTTTTATTTTTTTCTAACAGCAAAATAGAACCGATCATTGCATTTTATTTTTTTTCCTTTGGGGGCCCAACTGTGGCAAGTTTTTCAAAAGTGATTTTGTAGCTTTGGTTTGAAGCCATAATTCTTAATGGTAGGAGACTGTCAAATGTTCTTGATATTGTCAATGTGAGATAGTGCCTTTTGTTTTAGTTAATTTCTGGACCTTTAACATAGCTGGAATAACAACTTCAGTATACAATTCTGGTGTAGACTGTAACATTCAGAAAGGGTATAGTCATGCAGCTCCAGCTGTGAGAACACAATAGAGGTTTTACTCTCACACGTTTCTCTCTCCTTGTCCCCCTTTCCCTCCCACAAGTAGAAAATTACCTTGGCCATTTTGAGTCTTCACTCTGTGATATTTGGAGTGTATTTCAGCAGTTTCTGCAACGGATCTTTTGTGACTGAAGCTGTTGCATTTGTTGTGCTGTATATTTGCCCTTACAGTCATTGGGATTTTTTGAGTCTGTCTGATCTGTTTATGAAGTTTGACGTTATGTTCATTTTAAACCATTTAGAGCTTTGACTTCTGTATCTTTGAAACCCAGATAAACAGCGTAAGCAATAAAGCTTATTTTCTTTGGAAAATATCATATAAATAACAAATCTTATTGCAGACAGTACTAAATTAAATTCCTTCCAATCAAACAACTAACAGTGACTAAATTCAGATAGTTCTTTTCTTTTGTACTGCTTATTTTTCACTTAAAACGTACTCCTTGGTCCTTTCCTTTGCTCTCTCTAGGACCATTAGGATTTGCATAGTCCTTCAATTCTTCCCTTTATATAATAAAATACACATATTCATTTGAGGAGGGAATTTTAATCTTACTGCCTTCTGTAGCTGTCTTTAATGGGTTACACATGGATTTTTCTATTCTGATAACTCATAAGTATTAGTGCTGTTGACTGTCAGTGTTAGAAAAGAGCCAAAAAATAATCGAAAGACCAACCCTATTTTTTTTTTTTTTTTACAAAGAAAGCTATTTGCAGTGAATTTGATTTTAATCTTTTATTCTCTCTCTTTTTTTTTTCTTTTTCCTTCCTCCCTTCCCCTACTAGTTCTGTCTGTTTTATGTTACTTTGGGCCTAAGTCATCAAAGCTCTCTCTGGATGGACAGCAGGTGACTTACTGAATTTAAAAGTGTTTAGGAACAAGGAAGGAATAATGTAATCTTCTTACATATACTACTCAGCTAATAGATATGAAACATAAGGTCACAGTTGTCAATTATCTTTTCTGTCATGAAATCTTTTGTTGTTGGTTTAAAAGCTGGCTTTGTTTTTTATTACTTTTACATTCAAAGCACTGTACAAATTTCCAAGTGTGAGGCCTGCTGGTATCCTGGAGTCACAATACTGGAACGAAAGCAGAATATTGAGGAAATGGGGAGAACAGCATTAGAAAAACTTAGTGTCTATCACAGAAAGATTATATATTAATTATTATTTTAAAAAGGTGTGTAATGTCTTTACTCTGTAAGGAAACAGCTCTTACTGTATTGCGAACCCAGAACTGGTAGCAACTGCTGTTTCCAAATGCCTCTTTAAATTTACCTTTGCTTCTCTATCACAGTTGTTCTAGGCACTGTAGATTATCAGTGTCTGATCTAAGTGGATTGAGGATATTTGTGTGTTTTGGTAAAAGTGTTTGTTATAATATTTAGTTTTTCAATTAAAAATAGAAATTGCACCGTTTTTAGCTTTTAGGATTAAGCTACTCAAGGTTGCTTTTTTAACATTCATTTAACACAGATTTTGTCCATTTGTATACAAAATTAATTTTCCTCATAAGTGGGTAATCCCGAAGGCCATAACATGAAGATTTTACCAAGTTGTGCTTTTATTATAAATCAAGAAATTATGGTGTGGGTTCTCATTTTTTGTGTGTGTGTTTTTTTGTGTGTGTTTTTGTTTGTTTTTGTTTTGTTCCTGCTGTGTGTTTGGGTCTTGCAAATACCTAAGCTCTTAAGCATAATGAAAGCTTTCTATAAAAACAAGAAATTTTTTACCATCTGTAGCCTTTTTTTTTTTAACCCAAAGACTGAATGAATCTGTGAATATGACCTGATGTCAAAGCAATGCAGGATACAATATTTAGGCTTTTTTTTTTCCCCCTGTCTTTAGATTGGACGGGTTTAGATGAGGATGAAGATGCACATGTCTGGGAAGACAATTGGGATGACGACAATGTAGAAGATGATTTTTCCAATCAGTTAAGGTATTTTTTTTTTAATCATTAACTTACTATTTTAGAAATTGAGCAAAATGGTTTTAAAAAAAGTGTTTAAAAGGTTATATCTGAAAGTTTGAAATCTCATTAAAAAAAAAAAAGTAGAGCTCTGAAACAGAAATAGAAAAGCTCTACTTTGAGCTTATCTATCTAAAGTCTTTCAGAACTGGATTTATGGGATTATGACCCAATTGTAAGCACTCGTCAGAATTTACTCTTTTATAACTGCTAAGAGTGCTGAAATAACTGTCACCTCAGTAACATATTTGGGTGTTTGCAGTGTTTCGCACGTTAAACCTATACAAAAACCTCAGCAAATTGTGTCAAAGTTGATGCTTCTTCAGTTTGGTTGAATAAGTTCATTCCTAAGTAGCCTATGTGTGTGGTTTTGAGCTAATTCTGAAACATTTTAATGGCAAGAGGTCCAAAATTATCTTCTGTACTATAGAATCATAGAACCCTTAAGGTTGGAAGGGACCTTTAGAGATCATCTAGTCCAACTCCTCTGCACACGCAGGCTCGAATGGTATGCCAAGTGTTTTAGTGTAGATTATTTTTCTCATACCTTCAAACAGCTCTGCTGTTCTTCATCCAAATAGATAAGTGAACTCTGGCAAATCTGTCCAAATTAATGTTAAAGTTCCCTTGTTGTGTGCAGTGAGCATGTTGTTTGAGAGATACAATAGCAAAATAACTGTTAATAACATGCTTTAAAAAAGTGATAGTAATTTGAGTAGTTCTAATCCAGCTATTTAGTCTTCTCTGTCACTTGTAGTTTCACTTCATCCTTTTCTGATTCCAAATTATAGCTTAAGATGTTTCAAACATCAATACAGATTCTCTAATTCTCGTTTTATAATTAATCAATTTGTATGTTGCTTGCAAAACAAACTCTCTGTAACACAGCTTGCTTAAGCAGTCCCTGGGCTGACCTGCCATGTGGGACCTGGGAGAAAGTGACCCTTGAGTAGCAGACTGAGAAACAAAGTCTGTTGGTGTAGTTGTTTATTGTCAGATTGAAAAGTAATTCAATTAATAGTTTGAATTGTGATATTGAAAATGATCTTTATGCATAGGGAAACAGGAGCTTGAAAAGTACAGCGTGATACTTAATAATCATAGGCACTCTTGGCAAGCTTTTGGTAAATGTTTCTTAACTTTAGTGTTCTGGTGTCCATGTACTGGTGTTAGAATGAAAGATTGCAGTGTTCCTGTTCTGCAGCCTGGTTGGGTTTCATCTTGCTTCTGGAAACTGGAGTTGTGCACTTTGGTAAACAAAAGTTTGTTTTTGCTTCTTGATTGCATTGAAAGAAACTTTTCTATTATGAGGCAATTTAGTAATCTCTCTTCAAAATTCTTATTAAGGTAATTTATTGCAGTTACAGAAAGAAAATGCTGCAGCCCTCCATTTTTTAAAATTCCGTCACTAAGTTTTTCAGCTCATGTGGAATATTTCTGGAGTTTCGAATTATTTTTCAATACTATCTAGATACCATCCACTATGACTAGGAGATACAGCAGGGTATAGTTCTGGCTGGTGTGGAGAAGCCAAAATGGCCACAAACCAGGTTAACTTTTGCAGTTACACAAGTGCTGTCCTGGCCACAGCTGAGGTGGACAAAACACTTTAAAGCATCCTGTTCCCTTGAAGTTGTTTTGGTGGAAGATGGAGCTTGGCAAGATGCACATGCATTTAAATGCATCAAACATGAGCAAGTTTGTTGTGTTTAAGGAAACTCAGAATAACCAGCAGAAAACTTTTTTTTTTTTTTTCTGATGGATCTGGTCTTGCTGCTGACCCACAGATACTGCATGGCACCATAAACTTCTGCTACAGGGTGACAGAGGACAGTAATCATGGTGAAAAACAAGTATTTGAATATTTTGCTTAGAGTTCACTTCTAGTCATCTAAGACTGACCAAACTAAGAACTGCAGATCAAGTGAGGCTAAAGTTACTGAAATTAATCAAAAGGCAGTTACCTGTTGTGTCTCAAATGATTGTGTATTATGCAGTGTATTTTATTTTTAAAACTACAAATATCTGGTAATACTGTGTTTCAATATGCTTTATCTTTTTTATACAGAGCTGAATTAGAAAAACATGGATACAAGATGGAAACCTCATAGTTTTTGCTAAATATGGAGTAGTTTAACATTGAACTGTGGATAGACTATATTGAGAAGAAGAAAAATGAAACAAGAAGAAACATTTAGTTCATTATCTGCTTGGATTTATTATTGTTTTGTATGAAAAATAAAATTTTTAATCTTCGCCTAGTTGTATGTTCAACCTCTGCTAAATTGGTAACTTTTTTGATTCCAGAATACTGTGACAATTTATCTTCTTGTCCATGATGCTACCAGTGATCTTTCAGTAGCTGATGCTACTGCACTGAAATCATGGGGAACCCAATGAGAATTATCAGAATGAAACCCTTGAGCTTCTTCTTTTGTTGGGCAGGTGGAGGTGTCAAAAGAAATAAATTACTTATGTATTCCAATTAAAATACAACAGCAGTAAAACAGAGTAGAGCTTATTTTGCTTCATGACTTAATTTTCATTAGTAATTGTGTGTGGGTGCTGGTTTGATAGCGTTGAAAAATAAAGCCCAGTGTAAAATGCATTTTACAACAGCAGAAACCGCCTTTTCCAGTCTTGCTCTGTCATTTCTCAAGCCTGTAAAAGAAGAGACCTCTGCGGAGGCGAGAAGTTCGTTCTGTGCTCATGCTTATTTAATCCTAGGAATCTCTGCTGAAATTGCCTCCAATTTGCCAGTTATAGCGGTTCATCTGTATCACGCAAACAGGCCTGCTGAGAACGGAAATCAAACTTCCAACTCATTTCATGGAGGCCAACAGATAGTTGCCAGAAAACTGCAACGGTAGCGGCTGGATTCGATTACTATCTGAACTAGGAAACAGAAGGTGGAAATTACAAAACCCATTACTGATTCCATGAATCCTCTCCAAAGGAGCCGTTAAAGCCGCTGTTTGCAAAGGCACAGGGCCATGGCAATCTGGGGAATGTAGGCCATGATTGCAAATGAAAAAATACTCTGTTTTGCTTTCTATATAAAGGGGCAACTATAGGTATGAACTCGTGTAACTTGAATTAGCAATGTGTTCTATCAGGTAGCTCATTGAAAAACTTTCCAGCTTTCTCCTGAAACATGAATCTTCAGAATAAATGTGTTAAGTGATGGGAATGCAGTATTATACAACCTTAAATGCTTTCTTTATCAGTGTTAAATAAATAACCAAATATGTTTTATTTTTATATATTAATACAAAATTCTGGGAAAATTATACCCCTCTCCAAAATAGCTTAAGTGATCAGTTCTTGTACAGTGGAGGCAAAAGTGGCTGTGGCCCATGCAGAGCTTTCAGAGGTAGCTCTGTAAGACTTGAGACCTGTCCTTGCCATCTAAATGGTTCTGCAGAGCTAAATGTTTTGGAGGGAATTAGACATTTTTGTTTATCCCCTTCTACACTGTGTGGGCAAAGAAAGGCTGATATTTTGAGCAGACTCGGCCTATGCTCAAATAAGCCACTTGTGCAGTTTGCTGTGAGGAGCCCGAGCGCCCCAATTCCGTAGCCTACAAGGTGCTGCAGTTCGTTGAGGTAAGTGCCAGAGCAGAGGCTGCGTGTTGAGCAGCGACCAGCCACGCAAAGGGCCTCGAGGCAGGGTTGGGGGCTAAGTGCTACATTGGGCACGATGCTGGGATGGCTGCTGTTACTGAAAACGCTGGTTTGGGGAAATCCAATGAGACTGGTAAAAATAAGACAACAGGAGAGTTATGGAGTGATCTTCGGATATTGGCAACTGCAGATTTCTGAAACACGGTGGAGCAGCCCTAGCACAGCAGTTGGAAGCAGCAGGAGGAGGCCACTGTGGCAGGAAGGCATCTTTGCCTCCAGAAAATTTGCCTACGTTTTGCTGAGCCCATGGCTAACTTTTAGTATTGTTTTCTGCATTCTTCACAAAAACATGGTGCAAAAGGTTAGAAAAAAAATTGGAATTGTAATCCCCCGCCCCTGTTTCTCAGAACTGGAACTGAGGAAAACCGGGCTGAAATAATATGGGTTCTGCAGCCGTGCAGCATTTGAGCAGTAACTTCCAGCTGCTCGCGTGGTATCTGAACCCCCAGCAAAAAGGGCTTCAGTGTTCTAGAGGGGAGCTTGTCAAGGATGTCGCTGCAGAAATTCACCCTAATTTACCTGTTTTACGACTTTTAGTCTTCCCATGTGCTTTGGAGACTTGAGCTTTTGAGAGCATTCTGCTGGGAGAGGTTTTCTTTGTAGTTCTTCCTTGGGGGTGGTTCAGTGATGCCTGCTTAGCTGAGGTGGAGCATGAGTGCTCTGGGGGTGGGAGGGAAGACAGGCTGAGAGGAGACAGGGATTTGGGAAGAAGGATGTGCAAGCTGGCCAGGATGGGAGTGCTGTGGAGAAGGTGGACGTGCGAGCGGGAGAGGCTGGGCCTTATAGCCGAAGCAGTAGGACGGAAGGTGGAGGGGTGCTGTGGTGAGGGGGTGCTCTCTGCAGTGGTCAGAATTCCCGACTCGGGAAGAGGTCGGGTGCTGCCCTGCGTGTTGTGACCCAGCCTGGGCCCGCACTGAACGGTGGATGTGGAGGATCAGTGTCCTGTGAGCCGTGCCGGGGCGTGCGGCCTGCGGCTCCGCTGTGGGAACAGTGGGGACCTCCTCTGGCGTGGGGAGGGCTGGGCCTGCTCTGGGTGCTGTGGAAAGACAAGGCACCGCAGAGTTAACTCAAAGGACATTGCTCCAAAGCTGCGGATGGCTAATGAGTTTGGCTTTCCCAGTTGGCTTTACCATGGTCCTTAAAGTAGGTACACCTCAGAAGTGCCAGGTTAGACAACACAGAATCATGAGCAGCAGTAGTAAAGGTTACGTGGAAACCTTACATTCAGTTCCTTCAAGGTTATGTGGAAACCCTAAATTCAGTTCCTCTGTCTCCTCACGACCCCCCTGCTGTTATTCCATAGAGTCCCTACCTCAGCTAGTTTGCAGCACAGAATGAACAGCTTCATGGGATACTTGCTTTTCCTGGGTCACAGTGTGTCCTGTTCCTTATTTATCGCACTGTGCTCAAGCCCTGCTGTACAGAGCGAATGAGTAATGTTGGTTCTCTGTGTATCACAGCAGTCTGAGCGTTTTACAAATGTTCTAATACATTTTCCAACATCCCTGAGAGACAGGGAAGTATTTTCCCCTCTTTGAAGTATATACGAGTTTTAAGTGCTCGGTGTGAGACCCAAGGACCTCATGTTTCAGAGCATTCAGTAATATGTAAAATGCTCTGTATGTTCAAATGTTTCTTTAGCCTCAGTTACTGCTGTGCATATTCAGCATTTCTGCCCATCAGGATTTATGGGGTATCAAGCCAGCCACCCAGAAAGGGAGGAACATGCGTTGCAGACTTTGCAGCTTTTGTATAGAGTGAGGCAAGGGCCCTGCAAGTCACTCGCTTCCTCTGCCGCCTTCATTTTAACAGGAGGTTTTTTTGAACACTAATAAGGCGTAAGTCCTCTGGGGAGAGCGGTGAGTTTAGCAAAATATGTGATCAACAAGTTGAAGATTGTATGATACTACATAGCCATGGAAAAAGGAATTTATATTGCACAGAGTTATAGTTCCAGCATCTATCTTTCAAGTGTCTGACTTTACAGCCCTAATAATAATCTTTTAATAGCGGTATGATTTTGTGTTTGCATAATAATGCAGATAGATTTGATTTAATTCCAAGGCATGCAGGGAAGTGAGAAGATTGATGCCCAGAAAGTTTTTGTGATGGAATTTTACTGAAGAGTGAATGTTATGTAACATTTCAAACACACTGAGATCCTTCAAGATGAAGTGTGTGATATAAACGTATAATATTTGCAAACTATAATTTAGTAACCATTTTAAAACCCCAGTCAGTACTACAGCCTCAAACACAAGGGGAGAGAGCTTCTTTGTCAATAGAGAGCTAAGGGCAGCGAATGCGAGACTCATTAAGTAATTATATAGGAACATCAAATTAATTTCAACTGTTGTCTTAGACATTAGCAACCAAATTAGGAGACCAAAGGCAAGTGGTAATGCAGCCTAATACTTTTAATAAGTGAAGGTATGTGAAGTGATTTGCATGAATCTGATGATAAGCCCTCATTTAGTGGGTTTCCAAGTATCCCCTCTTCTCACCCTTGCACGTTTGCAGGACCTCCTTTCCCCATCTCTTTCCTTTGCTCAAATCCTTCCTATACTGGCTTCATAATAAACGATCCAACTTTCTGGAATTTGCTGGCGCGAGCTGGAACCTTTCAGTGCTCTGGAATAGGCAGCGCTGTGAGGGGTGGTGTGGAATGAGCCACCGTTGAGCAGAGCTCCAGCAAAATACCTGGTGGCGACTGCAAAGCGGATGAGGGGATCGGGGCTGCCGGCAGGGCAGCGCACACAGCATGTGAATGGGCCGCAGGTGGGGGGTAACGAGCGGCGTTTCTCATCTCTCCGGGCTCTTAATGAACCCCACGGGTCTGGCTGCTTGTGAGGGGCAGTGGCACAAGTCACCTTGCTGCTCCAGCCACTGCCTGACCCTGTGCCCTGCCGCGGGCAGCATAAAAGCCTGTCCTTCCTGAGGCTGGTGGCCTGTGAGATTCAGGAGGCTAGATCTGGCCATGAGGGAGTATTGAAGGGTTATTTTCTTCTGCAGTTTCCAGGAAGGATGCGCTGCATCTATACGATACAAGTGTCCAACACCTATTGGGGTCGAGGAGGTGATTTAATTGCTGGAGCTGCCAGGCTGGAAGTTCTGCTGTACTAACAAGGTGACAGTGCTGCTGGGGTGGGAAGGTGCTTTTCAAGGCCTGGGTCTTGAAAGCAATTGATGCAGCCACATCTCCCTATGGAAAACCACCGGGGTGCCTGGGCAGGACCAGCAAATTCAGCAAACAAGGCAAAAGTGTAATGACTGCATTTGCGTTCAGTTCAGTGCCACTTTCTTACATAAAAGAGAAAGTGTTCAGGTCAGATACACTCACAGAGGCATAGGTGCCTAAACCCCAGCAGAAGAGACTTGCTGCATCTTGCTGTAAATATTTGCAGGGTTATCTTTCCTCCTCCCTTCCTCAGCTACCGGCCCTGCCCCACAAACTGCTCACCATTCACAGGGGGTGAGCTGGAGCTTTCCCTGGAGGAGCTGTCACCCTAGCACATGTTGTTCTGGCTGGCACTTTGCATTGGAGGAAAATCCCAGCAGGAAAGCAGGGCAAG